TTCAATAATTACAGGAATTGTACCCGACTATTTAAAAATAGCTAAAATTATTCCTATCTATAAATCCGGAGATACATCTTTCTTAAATAATTACAGACCAATATCAATCCTTCCCGTATTCTCAAAACTGCTCGAACGAATAATCTACAATCGTTTATATAATTACCTAACCACAAACAAAATCCTGAATGAAAACCAATATGGTTTTCAAACTCAGCACTCGACAGAGCATGCTATCGTAGACCTCGTCAATAGAATTAGTAAATCAATCTATGAAAAGAAGTTCGTATTAGGAGTCTTTGTAGACTTGTCAAAAGCGTTCGACACAATAAATCATGAAATCCTACTAAAAAAGTTGGAAAAATACGGATTAAAAAACCATACACTGCAGTGGTTTAAAAGTTACCTGTATAACAGACAACAATGTGTTATTACAGATGATAATTACCACAGTAAATTATTAAAATTAACTTGTGGTGTTCCTCAAGGTTCGATTCTTGCTCCTCTTTTGTTCCTAATCTATATAAACGACCTTCTAAAAGTTTCTAGCAAACTTGAATTTATAATGTTTGCAGACGATACAAATTTATTTTACTCTTCGACAAACATCAAGGATCTGTATGATAATGTAAACATAGAACTCCAAAAATTAAATATATGGTTTAAAACATATAAGTTATCGCTAAACATAGAAAAAACAAAATACACTTTATTTCACTCAAACCAACAAAGAAACACACTACCAAATATTCTACCCTCTCTAAAAATAGAAAATATAGTAATTGAGAGAACTCACGAAACTAAATTTTTAGGAGTTATAATTGATGAAAATTTATCTTGGAAAAGTCACATAAATGCTTTAAACACTAAAATATCAAAAAACATAGGTCTACTTTATAAAGCAAAACCTATGCTGTCGCAAAGTAATTTAAAACTTATATATTTCTCTTTTATACACAGCTACCTCATATATGCGAATATAGCTTGGGCGAGTACGCATATAACCAAATTGAAAACTTTATATCGACGTCAGAAACATGCTGTTAGACTTATCTACCATAAAGACAAATTTACACACACTGAACCCTTATTTAAAGAAATGAATGTGCTTAATATTTATCAAATTAATATTTACCAAAATATACTGTTTATGCTAAAATTTAAATTAGGTCAAGTACCAAACCATTTTTTAAATAACTTTTTTATAAATAACGTTAATAAATATAACACAAGAGAAAAAGGAAACTTTATTACACCTTTCAAAAAAACAAAACTTTCCCAGTTCTCAATTTCATATCGGGGTCCTTATTTATACAACAAACTAGTAACTAAAAATAAATCAATCTGCAATCTAGATTCAATTTGCAATCAAAATTTCTTGAAAAAAAAGTTAAAAAATCTGATACTGAATCTAAACAGATACTCAGAATTCTTTTAAGACCATAAATTAAAATACATATATATCAACTACAAAGTGAACTGACTCGTTTAAGTGTATTATCTAAATGAATCTTTTTTTTTTTTCTTCTCAAATTTCTCAAACAATATATCAAAATGTGTTTATTACACACAAAAAAAACACTTGATTTTTTCTTATCAAGTTTAGTTATTATGCTGCTAGTTATGTCTAATATTTTATACTGAGCTTATTTTGAGTTTATTTTTTATTATGAGCTAAATTTAAAGAATATATAAACATAGTTGTACTTAATATATAATTATATTTATATATTTTATATATATTTATATTTATATATATATTTAACATAATCATAATAATATATCAAACACATTGTAAGGGCTTCGTGATAAGATCATTACGATCTTCTTGAAGTCCGGCCTGTACTATTTAATTATAAATTTCACTATATATATTTTGACTCACGAGACTTGTAAATATTAATTTACGAAACTTGTAAATGTTATATGTACGGCAAATATATGAATAAAAAAAAAAAAAAAAAAAATTTATTTTTGAAGCTATTTAGAACTTTTTTTATAAAAATTTCTAAAAAAACTTTTGTTTTGTTTTTATATTATGTATTTCTTCCGTTCTAAAAATTTTAATTTTTATTACTAAAAACGTTTTTCAACAACAAAGTTGTCATCCTCAGTAGTATAATACAACAGTTTTTAGTAATAAAAATTAAAATTTTTAAAACGGAATAAATACATAATATAAAAACAAAACAAAAGTTTTTTTTTGAAATTTTTAGAATTTCGAATTTAGAAGAACTTTTACTATAGATGGCAGCATTGTGTACTTTCATTGTTATAAATTCAAAAAATTTAAATTTTAGTAGGCTTAGGCTACTGCAAATGCATTAAAATTTTTTTTTTTAATGAAATATTAATATTAAGAAATTAAATTGTATGCAGAGCAGACAAAGTAAGTCATTATATTAATTTTATGTTTCAAAAATTTTGTAGACTTACACTGTTATTGTTTTAAATCCCAACCCAAGTATGGTAGATAAATCTGAAGAAACCTTTATGGACATTTCAAAAGAAAGCTCATCAAATTCAGTGTGGAAATATTTTCTACGAGGGAAAACAAATCAGGTGGCGAAATGCATGCAATGCAAGCAAGTTTTAAAGATATTGGGTGGATGTACAACTCCCATGCACACACATCTTCGTTCTAAACACAACACAGTTTTGAACAAGCGAAAGTTTGATGTTTGAAAGTTTTAGAATGATTGCTTCTAATGGTTTACCGTTTCGTGTTTTTTGTACGTCAAACGATTTAAGAAAATGTTTAACAATGCGTGGATTTGGTGATATTCCAAAATCACCCACCAGCATACAGAAAGTCGTGATGGATTATACTAAAAAGTTAAACAACTGCAAATTGCTAAAATTAATCAATTAAAAAAGAATTTATGCTTTAGTCTAACATTAGACGAGTGGACGTCCTCTCGAAATAGACGTTATATGAATGTTAACGTTCGTGGGTCGAAAAATATCTGGAATTTGGGTCTTTCTCGAATTAATGGTCGATTTGCGGCTGAAAATTGTGTAAAATTGTTAGAGGACAAGTTAGAATCATTTCAGTTAAATATAAGGAACGATATTTCGTGTATTGTAACTGAAGGTGCTTCTATGATGAAAAAAGTGGGTAGATTATTACCATGTGAACAAATTTTGTGTTTTGCTCATGCAATTCAGATTGCAATTGTAAATGTGATCTACAAACAAACAGAGAAAGAGGTAGATGAAGATGATTATGAGAGTGTCCTAGATCTGGACTCTGATGAAGAAGATTTAAGTGATGATGAAGGAATACAGGTGGGGACGAGAAATGAATGTGATGTAGAAATTACTGAAAAGTTTACATTGCGAAATGTAATCATGAAAGTTCGGGCAATTGTTCGAATGTTTCGACGTTCTCCTTTAAAAAATGAAGTGTTGCAAAAACATGTGAAGGAAGATCATGGAAAGGAATTGCAGCTATTGCTTGATTCGAAGACTAGATGGAGTAGCCTGATGTCCATGTTAGAACGTTTTAATCTTTTGAAAAGTTCAATAAAAAAGGCAATAATTGATATCAAAGCGGATACATATTGAATGATTCAGAATGGAATATAATATCTACAGTTTCTAGAAATTTGAAGCCTATAAAATTAGCTGTAGACGCGTTATGCCGTGCTGATGCAAATTTACTTTCTGCGGATGCAACATTTACGTTTGTGTTAGAAAACTTTGATGAGAATGAAGAAATTGGCCGTGAAATGAAAAAAGAGTTTGAAGTTCAAATTAATCGAAGAAGAACTGTGGTATCTGATGTTCTTCAATATTTGCATAATGGGGGTAAAACCAAAATTCACAAGAACATTTTGCGTCGCTCGAAAACTAAAATTAACAAAATTATCATATCCCTAATCCAAAGACTTAGTGGTGAAGTAGCATTAGAAATAGACCCGACAGTATCTGAGTCTACTGAAATGGATGACGATAAACCTATCGAATCATTGGAAACTCAGTTATCCTTGCAGGAAATTCTTCAGCAAAAGATAAAGGAATCACTCTCGGAATCACGGTCAAAAGTTCTACAAAAATCATCGATTCATTCCGAAATTCGCAGTGAAATGAAATTTTGGGATGAAGGGGGATCCCGCGGACCGCTTTTGGAAGATCTTTACAAAAGTTTATTAACAATTCCAACTAGTGTGGAGTCAGAGCGCGCTTTTTCCGCTGCAGGAGCATTTTCAACAAAAATTCGATAAAGGCTCAACGACAAAACATTGGATACTTTGTGCTTTTTAAGAAGCTTTTTCAAAAATCAAAATTGAACTTTCATTTTGCAATTTTATTTATGTTTTGTTTTGAACTAAATACATTTATGTTAAAAAATAATGTACTTTCTTATCTTTATATTTTTTAAATTCTTCTATAATAATTCCGGAATTAAAGCGGAATTCCGGATTTCATCTCCTGTAATTCCGAAAATCAGTTTTTTACAAAAAAATGGATTTACTAATAATTACTATATAGTGCTTATTTACCATTTCATCATATTTGTACTTAAAGTAAGAAAATTAGTTTAATTCAGAGCTTTTTGCCATGTGTAAAATGGCGGAAAGGGCGTAATAAATTATATTTTATTTGAACGTTACTCGTGAAAATAAGAGTAACAATTTACATCGTTATAACGACACATTTTTAATTTTGAACTTTCAGTTTAAAAGTTCAGTGCTTTTTATGTAAAAAGCAGCTTAATAACAATAATCGAAAAACGCCATAGAATGTATTTGTTGAACAAACTTTAATCATATACATATTTTTCCAACATAGACAAATATGTACATGTTAAAAATACAACCTAATAAGCTTCACCCAATCGATTTAAGTTTGAAAAGCGACGTCAAAATCTAAACAAACAACTCATTTACAACATCTTCATGATTCATATTTCCAAAAATCTGGAAATGATCATGATGCATTAAGTCGTCATCAAAAAATCAAGAGACGACGGCGTAACTTATAAAAACAAAAACTGATTTTCAATTCAGCACGGTAAGAAAACTTTTTCTAAGAAAGTTTATAAGTATATACACAACCGTAATGACGGAAAAAACAGTAATTACTCTATTGTTTCGTACTGCAAAAGTATTTCGAATATGCCTAGTAATTGATCAATTTTGTTTAACCCAGTGCAGTTCGGCCTCGTTTACCGGTAATCGGATTATCGTTTCCACTTACGTCAGATTTAGGATTTTGTACGGTTTCATCGACGGAAAGAATTAGGCAAGCAGCTTCTGAAGCAGCAGTTAAAGCGTTTATTCGAACAATTGCAGGTTCCCATACAAATTTTTCAAAATTATCAGCAATATCTTCACTTAAAATGTCTATTCCATACCATAATCCACCTAGAATAAATTAAAAAAATTCTTTATTAAAACACCAACGTTAACGTAAATCTTAAACTGTATATTTCAAAGTATAGTATAAAACATATGTCGTTACATATAATCATTCTTTGATAACCTTACACAATAAAAGATATAAAGATAAAGACAATATTATAAGACACCAACCATATGATAACTTTTTGTTATAAAAATGTTTTAAATTCTAAAACTGAAGAATTGCAGATTAAAAAGTTAAAAATCGAAAAAGGTTTGTCCTCCATTAATTGGCATACTAAACTTTTTAAATCGTCCAGCTCGAGAAGAGGTGGGTTTGAAAGTGAAACCAATAGATATTGCGAACAACGATATTATTTCTTAATCATTAAGAAATAATACCATTTGATAATTAGCTGTTTAATAACAGACCAATTCAAATAAATGATCGACACTGCAATGAATAGTTGGCTATAGTCATTAATGGTCTTAATTTTGTATTTTATTAAGGGGAAAGTTGCCATAATTGAAACAGCCCTTAATTAGATCTTTTTATTAAAAATTTATTTTTAGTAAAAAGCATTTATTTTTTATTAAAAAAAAAAAAAAAAAAGAATTATGGCTATATTTTGCATTTTTTTCAGTAAAACGCCTTATTTTCTACGTTTTGACACATTTTGAAAGTTATTCCTCAAAAAATACATGCGAACCATTGATTTATAGTTTTTTTGCGTCATTTTTTTTCGGTGATCTAATTTTGTGTTAACACTATATTGATTGCGCTGGGTAAACTATACTGCTATAAGTTATGCGGTTTTAGTGTTTAATTCGATGGGATTTAAAATGCAAAATAACAATACAAACTTATCTTATAAGTTGCTGCAAGCATGATATTGCAGTGATATAACAAAATAGTCAAATGTTTCCTTGATTGGAAATTTAAAGTTTTCTTTACTTAATCAGTAATAAAATCAAAGGGTTGTAGAAATAGTTCAAGCGCAACTTAAAAATACTTAGTAACAATCATAAACCTTAAAAATAATTCTTTATTTAGTGATTGTTAATCAATAAATTAAGTCATAACAGTTGAAGCTTTGTATAATTTTTTGTTTGTAGACTTTCAGTTTGTCAGGGTAAAATTAATCCTATTATAAGTTTTGAATTAACTGTTTAAATTTTCACTGTAAAAATAAATTTTTAATCAAAAAAAAAAAAAAAAAAACTTGTTCTGATTAAGGAGTCAAAGTGTTCCAATATAACCAGTTGCCTTGATTGGAACAAAACTGTATCTTTGCAAAAATAATTTTTTCCCAATAACATTTCAATCAATCAAGTCAAATTGTGATTAAAAGTATAGCAGGGTTGTCTGTTTGTATTATTCAAATCATAAACGTTTTAATTGTTAAGCCATCTTTGGTTAATATATATTTATTACTAAAGTGTTCAATTCTTCCCTTTAACTAGAATCAGTTAAAAAGATATGAACAAAAATTAAAACTTTCAAAACAATTTTATATTTTTTAAACGTAAGTGTTAAGGGCATTTCCAAAAAAATCACGCATGGAAACTCGTATATGTTTTGTCTATTATTTTCATAATAATAAAATTGTCATACCTGTTGCATGTTTCTGGCGAAGCTTATTCAATAGGGAAATCGAGTCAAAACCAGCATTATCACACAATTGTCTTGGAATGACCTCTAATGACTTAGCAAAAGCTGCAAGTATAAGTTGTTCTTTTCCTGCAATAGTTCTTGAATAATCACGCAAAAGTCTACTTAACTCCATCTCAATTGCACCACCACCAGCAACAACTGCATCATTCTTAAAGTAATCAAATTTTGTTAGAAAAAAAGTTGTTGGTAAAATACACTGCTTGATATGTTGTAAGTTATAGTATATTCAGTCCTTGGAGTTAAGAAAAATGACATTTTAAAAGTTAAATTATCATTATAAAAATTAATAAACTTAATATATGCTTTATAAATATAAAAAAAGACAAAAAATAAAAATCCTTTATAACTTTAGAAATAAATAAACTTAAGTCACCTTTAGAGCACGCCTGACAATCATAATAGCATCATGCAAAGACCTCTCAGTCTCTTCAATAAATTGCTCTGCACCTCCACGTAATATCAAAGTTACTGTTTTTGCATTAGGACAACCTTTTAAAAGGTTATATCTAAAAAAACCTCAATTTTAATTTCTTATTTTACAGAGCAGTTTTTTATAATTTCAAGTTAATATGATATTAGTTTTCTGTTTCAAATTAGAAAATTATTAGTTAAAAAAAAAAAAAAATTAATAATAATAATAATTGCTCAACAAATATGATAAAATATAATCAACAATTAGTTATTAAGCTGAATTAGTTATTAACACATGAACATTAGGATTTAAATTTAGAATAAATAAAATAAGCATACCGTTCCCCTCCTATTTGAACTTCTTCAAAGTCTTCACATGTTCCTAAAACATCATCTGAAAGTACTTGAACACTTGTTTGGATGGAGCCACCACAAGCTTTCATAGTTCGTACTAAATCATCTTCAACAACTCTTCCAGCGCAAAATATATCTCGATCAGCAAAATACTGTGTAGCAACATCACCAATAGGTAACTTGGATAAAACAACTTTGGCTCCGCTTTTAACAATATTTTCAAGTTTTTCATATAATATATTCCATTCTGCATCCACAATTTTCTGGTATTCCTAAATAAATACAAATAAAATATTATCATGTGTCTAAGAATAAAAAAATAAAACAAAAGATATGAAAACACAAAATACCTCAACATTATCAACACGAACTTCAGCATTTTCTTTTTCAGCCCTAAGTTCTAACTCAACATTCAACATAGCAATTTTAGGTGATTTATACTTCTTAGGTTGCATCTCAAAACCTGCATACGAAAATGTTTTCTTAAAAGCAACTCCTTGAATTAGCTGGGAAGCCTAAAAAAAAACAAAACAACAGTAATTTAAACACAAATATAACAGGTATGAATATTCTTTATATTATTAATATAAGAAGTGAAAAATTGGAAAAGAAGCCCCATGGCGTCCTGTCTTTATGGACCATCTGGTTGTTTGCCCTGGAAACAATTAACACACATTTATCAGGACTACACAAATGCTGACATTTTCAGAGCTCTAGTTTGCCTGGAAAGTAGTGAAAAATATATTGCAAGATTCTGCTATAAAAAAGTAGGGCACATGACCCAACCACTCTGTTGTCTTGGGCCCAGGAAACAACTTTGACATGGATATTAATTGGCACTATAGAAAAGCCAAAAGTTTCAAAGCTCCAACTAGACTAGAAGTTAGTAAAGAATATTGCATTTTTGTTGCAATATTCTGCTACAAAAATGTGGGGATTGTGCCCGGTTACTTACATATGGAAATCCATATACTTGCAGATTAAAATGCTTATGTTTTCTGAAAGATCAATAAAAAATATGTAAAAAAAATTTTTTTTATATCATCAAGGCCACATGGGTTTCTTGAGCATCAAAATCAGGTATATTAAAAATTGCATAAATTTATTTTAAATTGATAAATATAGATAAATAACTTTTTACATTTCTATAAAAGAAATAACTTTTTACATTTCTGATCATTTAATTGGATTTATCACCTTGAAAATAGCCAAGTACAAATTTTCAAGTAAAAAAATCAAATATTTTTAAAGTAAAAAGATAGAATATTTGACTTGAAACCTCTAAATAAACATTGCAATTCTGAGGGGACAAAAGGGGCCTGACCAACATCTACTAAAAATAAAATGGTCATATTTCTGGATCTTCTTGAAGCTAGAGGCAAAAATTTTCTTTTTTTTAAAAGTATTCTCAACTGTATAAAAATCAGCTAAATCTGAGATATAGGGTGACATTTTTAAAAATTTCTGGCTTATTTGACATAAAAAGTATTGGGCAATTTGGAATTACCAATAGTAATCCAAGTGAAATAAGTGACTGGAATCTTAATTTTTTTCATAAGACAACTTTTTTTTTTGCAAAGTAAAAAGGAAGCAATGTTTCAAAAGTTACATTTGTCTAATATACACATAAATCCTAATATCTCCTATGCCTGTGCGTGAATCCTAACAATACTACACTAAAAGATAAAATGATCAATTAGCAAGGTTCTATGTAATTTTTGGCATTTTCTAATGAAAGATTCTGAAGATAAACACAGTTTGTCAACTTACTCCTGCTGCTAACTAGCCTAAGTTTTCCCTCATAGTTTTTCATTTAAAATATTTAAAGTTAATCCCGAAAATTGATTCAGTCTATGGTATAAATCCAATCTTGAACAAGACCTACTTTTATTGGCTTTTTTTAATGTCAATTGAATTTACAGCATTACATGCCATGCAACAAATTGATGATAAATCAAATTTTAAATCGTTAAATTTTTAAACTGAAAAATTGTTATCTTGAATTCACTCTTGAAAGTTTTTGAATTTGGGTATAACTGCAGTAGATTTAAAATCAATTTTTATTCTTACTTTCTTTAAATAAGTGAATAAATCCTACTTTTTCCATACAGATATTACATTTGTGTCAATTACACACCTAGGTTCCATAAACATATATGTGCAATGTTTTGCATTATGGACATTTATGGACTGTCACATCAATATTTTAACAGAAGTTCTATTATTTTACAACAATAAGACAAAACTTTTTTTTTAATATTATGAGAGAAAAATTTTGATATTTGTAATATAAGCAAAATGTTTAAACTTAAAATAATAGAACTCTTACAAATGTATAAATTTTAATGAAAATAAATTAGAGAGCTTTTAAATAACTATCAGCTAAGATCGTAATCCTACTTCAATATGCCAAAATATTTGATCTATCAACAGGAGAACAACATACTGGACAGTTAGTACAAGTTTTCTCAAAAAACATGAGAACTAGAGAGAATCATTTTTATATTTTTCTTTGTTTTTTTTTTTTTGTCAAACTTGTACAACTCATTGTTTAAAACTGATAGAACGAAATCTTTATATTCTTTATCATCTTCCAGAGAAAATGTTTCCCAACCAAGAAACTTTTAAAAAATTTATCACATTATCAGTGTGTATAAGGACTCCAAGATAAAACTAAAATGCGGAAAGTAAACTTTGACTCAAATGACAAAATTAATTTTTATTGGTATACATTCATTAATTACTTTTAATTAAAATTGTAGCTTAAACATTTTTTAAACATTTTCCTCAACATGAACACAACAAATTTTCGAATCATAATTACAACTTGAAATGAATAGAATCTTAATAAACTTGCAGTAATTTTATAACATCTTATTTTTTTACATATTTTCAAATAATTGAGAGAATAAACTTTTGGAAAAGATTTTTCAGTGATTAAAAAAGTTTTTTTTTAAAACAAATTTTATTAATATGTAGCTATTTGGTTTAGTTTGGTAAGAATTATACAAATTTTTTTTTTTTTTTGTTATTTCAACTAAATGAATATTTATTACATTCAATAATCCATTTTAAAGTGTCTAATTTAAGAGAAAATTGTATCCTTTTAATTTAATCATTGCAACATTTTTTTAAAGAGAGTTTTTGCTATTAAAGTACATTTTAAGTTAAACGCATTTTTACACTTCATAAATTTTTAAATAGAAAAATAATTTCTTACTCATTGTTGATCTTTATAAACATTAAAAAACCAGTTATATCATTTTATTTGGTAGAGCAAAAATTCTGAAGGCCATAAAATAAAATTATAAAGATTTATAAAACAACGATTGTGAAAATTATGTATACATGACAACCTTGTGTTCTTTATGAGAACCTATGTGAAAACCTAGTGTTCTTTATGAGAACCTATATGTTGGTGTGGTGTAGAGCGCTCGCTTCATAAATGAGTGGTTCCGAGTTCGATCCCCACCACATCCCTGGTAGTACCACGCTCAACTCGTTTCTCCGCAAAAAGGCCTTGTTCATCAAGTTTCATGTTTCGGAGTTATAGAGTTGAGAGAGGATTATAACCACAAATAAGTAGGGATGTACCGAAGCTAAAATTTTGCCGAAGTCACTTTGCCGAAGCCGAAGCTTCGGCACTATATATGCTTAAAATTTAATCAACATTCAGATTAGCAGGGGTGTAAAACAAAAAAAGGTTCTAAAACTAAGATCTTTGACTAATAATATAGAAAAAATGCATAAAAATGAGGACACAAGTCAGGGTTGCTGCCCCAGGCAGGGCAAAAGCTCTCAGCGCCCCTTTTTAAAAGTTTCTCATTATGTCGTTTCTGATACTTCACCGCACCTAGTGTTTTTTTTTAAGACTTAAGCTTTTTTGAAACATTCTCCCTAAAAAAATTTAAAATAGTAGCAACGTATCTTTAATCTTCTTTAAAGTGAGATTACTAAGGTTTATAGGTCAAATGTTAAAACCAATTTTTGTTCCATTTGAGGTAATCCCACACAAAAATTAATATAAATATTTTAATTTGTTTTAAATTATAAGGTTTTTATTCTGCATAAAAATGCTGATTCAGTTCATCTAAAGTCACACTTGGAAGCCTTCAAAGTGTATGAGGACCTTCCTTAATTTTACTATTATATTCAAAATATTTCTACTTATTTATTATCATCCCCTCCATAACAAGACATTTGGGAGTAAATAAAACTAAATATATGGTATAGACTCCAACTTTAACTCTGTAGTCCTAAATTTACAACTTAATTAGACACTGGCAATAAGCATATTTTTATAACTTGTACAACAGTAGCTTATAACTTTAATTACTTAAAATTTTTTGCCGAAGCCAAAGATTCGGCAAAAAATTGACCTGGCTTCGGCTGAACCGAAGCTTCGGTACATCCCTACAAATAAGTAGCCTCCTCGTCTGTAGTGGCCTTCTCAGCCTTGAGGAGGTGAATTAAAATTTAAAAAAAAAATGTGACAACCTAGTGTTCTTTAGGAGACTATACGTTAAAGAGTACTTTTTAGTAAATAATAAAAGTAAACAATTTATTAAAAATAAATAATAGACAAACCTCCAAAGCACCGCCCTGGACTTTTTTAACACCAATCATGTTAAGAGGTAATAACTCATCTAAGTGTGTCACAGCTTCAACCACCATTTTTCCAAAAAATTCTTTATGCCGAGCTACAAGCTTTGAACTAAGTGCAGTTTCAGCACATCTCTGTAGCACCTGCCTCATTTCCCTAGAAAAAAACTAAATCCATTTGACTTCATAAATATTCAAGAGCAAAACACAGATACTAGACACCCATATAGACCACTGACCATTTGTTATCAGCTAAATATTTATAAAGTAAATACTTAGATTAAATTTTTATCAGGAAAAATGTTTATTTTATATATTCTGAATTTTAAAGAATTTAGCTAGGACCACCCCATTATTATGAGCATAATAATTCTTATTTTTGGCCTTCAGATAAAATTATGTATCGAAAAATATTACAACTTCCACATAAAATTATTAGATCTTTTTGAATAGATTTAAAAAACTTAAAAAACAAGAAAGATAAAACTGTTTATAAAATTGTCATGTAAATGCCAATTCAAACAAAAAATATATAAATAATTAAACAAAACTAATTTTCAAGTAAAATAAAGTCAAAATCTTATATGTGATACCAAAGGAAAATCTTCAACTTACAAATATAAAAAAAAAAGAAACCTACACAGGATCTTCTTTTTTTATTTTCACAGAAAGCTCTTGAATTTTTTCCAATACCTTGAAAATATTGATAAAATATACTTTTATTTTATAAATGCTGAATCTAACTTTTATAAACATTCAAATTCAGCATTAAAATTCTTACAAATTTTGTTGCTTTTCGGAAGCCTTTAATTAATATCTGTGGATGAACACCTTCTTCAACAAGTGGTTTAACTTGCTTTAAAAACTCAACAGCAAGAAGTATTACACTTGTAGTACCATCACCAACCTGATAAAATATATATATATATCACAATAAGCTAATAAATTTATTGTGTAAATATAATGCTAATTTTTGTTAACACAGATAAAATTTGTAAACTTGTAAGCAACTAAAACATGTATTTCAAACTGACTAAATTTATATTTAAAAAAATTTTAAAAATTAAAAAAACATTCAAGACTGGATATATTCTTTTCATTAACATGTCATAATTGTACTTATGTATTGTACAACACAGCTCATATTATCATAAGCCAATATAATTCCAAATAATACAAACAACTCCCCTTTGAAGTAAATATTATATAATTTTAAATCTAAAATAAGACAATTTCTTTTATATAACAAATAGCTATATTGCTACTGTATGATAAATCATCTTTAATGTTTTAACTTTAATAAATTTATTTAGCAATTCAATTAGACTTATTAATTATTTGAATCAGAGAGTAATACAACATTACAGCAATTTCCATGACCTTAATGTGATTTTGATCAAGAAAACAAAAAATTGCGGTATTTAGATTTTTTTAAATAAAAAATAAAATTTATCATAATATTGAAATAGCCTAACTATATTATAAAAACTAAACTTGTCATAACTTGTAAAATAGAAAGTAAAAAATAAATAAAAAATTATCTTAAAGAACATATATTTTTTTACCATAATAATATAAATTCAAAACATTTTTTATACACATAGATTTATAAAATTGTATTTCCTTGATAAAAGCAAAACATCAAGGCATGTGGAATTGCTGCTTCCCACTTAAATTAAAAAAAAAAAAAAAAAGAAGCTCATTTTAAAGCATTTGAAAAAGCTTTATATAAAAACATTATCATTTAGAAAAGATTTTATCTTCAGTAAATCTGTTAACTGAAAAACATGGTTTTTACATTGATGAGATTATTTAAACTTTAACATAAGTTGAGATCTGAATCTGATTATAATAAGCTAGCAAGTCAAACCCTATATTGGTTTTATAAATGTTTTCATAAATCAATTTCATCAAGTTATTTTCTTCAGTTTTGAACTTTTTACCATTTACATTTTATTTTTCTTACTCCCTTAAACATTTAACAAGTTTCTAATAATATTAAAAAAGGTTTTTTAAAAAATTATCAACAAAACTTGTAAAATGAACTTTTTCATTTTAAGTTAAAAAATGGCATTTTTATGCAGTAAAATCAAATATTTATTTTTACTAAAATGATTATTTTAAAACCTTTTGTATTATTTGCACGGTTTGTAAATTTGGGACCCTAATATCAATGGAATACCCTATGAAAACCCTTTTAAGGGGGGATAGTACATGCCAATTGGAGTCTATATTGAGTTGTTTTGAAATCGGGGATTAACATCAAAAAGAATTATTTGATCATGAAGGTTTTTTAAAAGGGTTGATTTATGAGCCAAATTAAGCTGCCTATTAATGGTACTAAACTTGCTCCCTTAATTTTTTTTATAAAATAAAGATTGTAGCCCATGAAACGTAAAATGTTTATTATTTTATTCATTTTTTTTGAAATAATTTTTTATTGAGCGTTTTGATCAGTGCAAGCGTAAAATCGAACTTTCGAAACTAACGAAAAGAGTAAACAAATATATTCTGGGAAAAGGCAGTACACTTTAAGATTTTTTTGTGAACAAATATTTAAGAATTTAAAGATGCCTACATTTGCCAAAAACCATGTAGAAAATCTGTTTGTGTTATCTGTATGAAGAAAGGTGATCAAGAATTGACTGAAAACTTCAAAGCTAAAATTCTTCAACAAATTCAGAAAGAAATCAACTTCAATGATGACAGAGTACCATTGGCGACCTGCATCTCCTGCAGATCTCACATTGGAAAGCTGTGTGATGGTAAAACAAATGTTGTGCCTCAGATTTATGACTTTGAATCAATTTCGATCAAGCCTCTTACTCGTTTTTCTACAGTCTGTGAGTGCTTGATTTGTAAGATTGCCAAACTCAAAGGAAAAGAAACACATCCATTAAGCAAGGTTCAAGATTCAGCACCAAAAGTTCCTTAACAATCTTCGCAAAATGCAGAAAAGCATTGTACTAAGTGCTTGTCAGTTATTGGTCGTGGGCTTCCTCACTACTGCACTCCTGGAACACGCCATGAAAATTTGAGAAGAATGGCTGCCTCTGATCCCATTGGTGCAGAGCAAGTTGCAGCAACAGTTTTGGCATCAAAAAGTGCATCTCCTCATGGCACTATCAGACTCAGTCAACCTTGTGGAAAGTTATTGCCATTGAGAAAAGGTAATAGTCCTTTTGAACTTTAAATGATTAAATTAAAATATAAATATTATCTATTTATTTTTCAAAAACTTACTTAATTTAAAAATAAAATTTTCTCTGCAAATATATTTGCAGAGAAAATTTTATTTTTAAATTAAGTAAATTTTTGAAAAATATTAATATTTTTTGAAGGTCATGAACTATTTTTTAAATGCAATTTTTATAATTAGGACCTTCATCAGCACAGCAACTTTTCAAAGAGCCTCTCACAACGCAGAATATGGTTCAAATTCAGCAGAATATAGGACTTTCAAACAATGGGATGAGAAAACTTGGATCGGCACTAAATCAAATCAGTCCTATCAGATTGGTGGAGCCAAGTTTTCAGCAAAAATTCGCTCAAGCAGGCCAAAAACTTTGTGATCACTTCACTGTGAGCAGCATCACTCTTGCTGAAAACAATCAAATATCCCAAGTTGTGCATTGTCAAAACCTCAGTAGTCTTAGTGATGTCTTCTTAGCATCAAGAAAGATGACAGATTCTGCAATTTTGAAACTAGGGATTTATGGTGGAGGATCTTTTTTGAAAGTCAGTTTCACACACATCATTGTGGATGAAGGTGAGACACCGCCACATAGCCCACTGCAGAAAACAATCAAATTGATGTCTCCACAAACAACTAAATCATTAAGTGTCAAGCAGCAACTACTGGTAGCAATTGCACAAAACACTCCAGAGAACTACCATAATGTGAAGGCAATTTTTGACCTCATCCAAGTACAAGAGAAATGTCAGATGGATTATCTGGTCATATCATGTGACCTAAAGTTGGCAAATATTCTGTGTGGCATTCAATCCCATAGCAGCAAACACCCATGTTGTTGGTGTGATGTTTCGTCTTTAAACCTCCAAAACTGTGGAAGTCCTCAAACTTTTGGCGAGATTAGGAGACAACATTTTGAATTCATCAACGCAGGAGGAGATACAAGAAAATCAAAGGAGTTCAAAAATGTCATTCACGTACCATTGGTTGATTTTCCTGATCACAAGCTTGTACTTGAAGCTATCCCTCCAATGGAGCTCCATTTGTTACTTGGAGTATTAAACCATTTGTATAAAAATTAGTCAAGCTCATGACTTCATGCAAACACTTGCACTATTTAAGGATGTGGTAATTTCTTGCTTTGGCAATAATTTGGATCCTGATTATGAATCGAAGATCTCCAAGTTCAAACAAAGCTACATCTGCCTACCCATTTCAGTTACTCCAAAAGTACATGCAGTGTTTTACCATGTACCTCAGTTCATCAAAATCAAGAAAACAGGATTGGGTCTCTTCAGTGAGCAGGCAACAGAAGCTCTGCACTCCAATTTCAAAGTTCATTGGGAGAGATACAAACGAGATTCCTCACATCCAGACTATGCCAGCCAACTCCTGAAGTGTGTGATCGAATACAACAGCAAGAAAATCTAGATCTAAAGAACAGTGTTAAAAAAATCCTAAGAATACTCTTAACAGATTTGTGATATTTTAGTGCCTTTATTTTGTTCCAGATGATTCGTCTCTAGAGAGCATTATAATTTTTAATGGAATAATAGAAATTGTTGTTTATCTTCTAAATGCGATCATTAAGAAAATAAATGAATAAAATAAAAAAGCTCCCAATTTATGTTTTTAATATTTTTTGTTTTATGATAAAAAATCAGAAATGTATTTTTGTACTACAAATAGGCTGCCAAATGTTGCTTAAAATTCTTATTTTCTTCAAAACTTTAAGGTAAAAAATCTCCATTGGATGTTAATGCAGGATTTCAAAATCACTCTGTATGGCCATCCATTGTTATGTACTATCCCCCCTTAAAAGGGTTTTCATAGGGTATTTCATTGATATTAGGGTCCCAAATTTACAAACCGTGTTTGGCTATCAGGATATATTGGTAAAACTTTTGTCTTTGATGTTTTCATTGACATTTTACCACAACACTCTTCTTAATATTGCTATTCCCTTCTTAATATTGCCATTCCATTTTTAAAATTTCATTCACAAAAAAAAATTAAATCATTTATTAAAAATAAAATTGAAAGATAAACAATTGTCCTTTATTTATCAACAAAATCTTTTTTAGTGTATGAACTTTACTAATTCTTAATAAAATTCATTAAAGGGATCTAAAGCTCCCAACACATATTGTGTTCATACCAAAGATAATGTTAAAAAAAAAGGTTTGAACTTAGTTTTTTTTTATTAAAAATAAATAACGAATTATAGATCATCAAGGTTTTATTTTAAAAATCCGGAAAATTGTATAATATCTAGAAAAGTATAATATCTAGAAAAAATCTATAAAAAAAGTATAATATCTAGAAAAAATCTGGGTATAATATCTGGAAAAAAAAGAAGGGAAAATATATTTTCCCTTATTTTCCTTTTAATTTTGAATTTAGCTGAGTTATTTCAAATTTTTTTCCCTAATTTTTGTGTGAGTGATAAGTGAAAAACCATAAAAAACAAATATATTACAAAAATATGCATAAACGGGAATTGGCATATGTGCGCACTGGCATTAGTTGCATTAAAAGATTTTGCAAACATTACCAGAAGTGCGAAGCAGTTGCAAAAACTGGCACAGGTGCGAACTGGCATAAGTGTGCCGAACAAATTTGTAAACATTGGCATATATGCAAACTGACTTAAGTGCAAGTCAGTTACAAAAAATGGCACAAGTGCAAACTGGCATAAGTGCGGAGCAGTTACA